GTAAGTGTTAATAAACTTTTTGTTTTTATTTCTGTTTTGAATAGACAATGACTCACAGAAGAAACAGCAGTAGGAGATGAATAGTTTGGTTTCTTGCTAGATATAAGGACAGTTGAAAACCACAGAAGGATATATATATTGGAAGTAGCTACAATACAGGATAATGTAGCCTGCTGGACAATTTCTCAGTGAATGTATAATTTTATGATTGTATATAACAAAACCAATTCTATACCACATTCTTTAAGTTGGATAGCATTTTCTTCTTGGTACTTCCAAGTTGAGAAATCAGGAGTTTAGTTGTGGGTAGCATTATCCAAAATCATTGCCAGTTCCCTAAGTTTGTTGATTTAGGAAAGAGCATACTCTTTATGTACCATCTCTCAACAAGCTGCTGCTCCTCATCCAAAATACATTATAAAATCAGTTCAGCACCTTACTGTTGAAGAAGGATAGTACTTTACATATATATCTTGATAATGATACATGATTTAGTATAATTAGATGAAGCTCTGCAAAAAAAAAAAAAGTAGTTATTATGCCAGACCAGTGAAGTTTCCATACCTCTATTGATTTATGGAACTTATACCTTTGATGTATGCTTTATGTGCAGCACCAATAAATAGGGAATGGAAAGAGGGTGTGCATCTTTATTTTTAGTGTTATTTTTAGCTTTTGTTAATTTTTATTCATAAATCTGCATTTTCACAAAACAAGAAACTGATGGTAATGATAATGAAAAAGTCACTTCTTATTAAGAAATTGAAATATACTTAATTCTTTGTACAGGATGACCCCCTTTTGTACCATTGCCCAAGGAAACCCGTATTATGTGACCCCTACCTTAGGTCCATTTCAGATTCATCAATTTTTCACTTCGCTATACAATACAATACTTTCTTTCAACACATTTTCATGAATGACATAAAATGTATGCTTCTGAAGAACCAATATTTGATGAATGACATTGATGGAGGGCATGGCTTTGTAAAGAACATTGAAAATCAGGGCTTCTGAAATAGGGCTTTTATCAAATTTTATCAAATGATCTTTGATTTTATTTATTTTTTATTTTTTATTTTTTTCTGTGATAAACTATTAACCTATTGCCGCCGGGGATGGCATGTACATACATGCCATGCCCACTGTGAGTCGACTTCTTCGATTGTTTTTACACATAGATGACTGCATTTGTACTAAGTATCCAATGAGCCAATTACGAGTACTGCCTGCCTCACCCGTTCACCCTTTTCATCGATTTAAGAAAATATTTAATGTTATCCTAATTTGCTGTTAAAAATAATACCATCTATATTTACAGCACTAGTAAGAATGTTTTTTCCCGCCAATTCAAGGAAAGGTGAAATCAGGACTAGCAGAGCCATCTATGGACAGACATATTTCACAAAAATATAAAAAATGAGTACTGCATTCTCCCTATTTTTTTTTTTTTTTTTTTCATTTTCCCCGGCGGCAATGAGTTAAGAAGCCAATTTAGAATATTATATTGTAATTTTATTTCTTTATCATATTTTATTTCTTCCTAGCACCCTTATTGGTTTTGGAGTGAAATGGTATGTACATGTGTTGATATGTCCATTATGATTTGATGGATGTAATAGTAGATAATTTTTTCTTAGTACATTTGAGAGCTGGCTGGGGGGCACATGTGTACACATGTTCCATAATCCATGAGCCACTAACATTTACATTTCCAGACATTAAAATTGTTGGATTTGAAGCCTCTTACCCTGGCAACTTATTTAGAGTTGGGACATCAAGACAATTTTCTGCTGATTGTGCTTATAGTAGAAGATCCATTTTGATCAGTCCTGGCCTCTTGTGATATAATATTAAAAGCCTTCCTGGCCATCACTTTTTTAATAGGCATTATCAATGATACCTTGTAACCACACAGCACAGTAAAAGACCTGAATTCTATCTCTAAGTGAGACATGTCCTTTGTTAAGAAATGCATGTGTCAGGCTTACCAATTGCATGTCTTTCAACAAATTTCATTCTACCCAGGAAACAATCTCTGACCATCCACACAAGCCTACTGGAGAAACCGAAAGCATTCTGAAATATGAGCTGCACAAGAATCCACTACAGATAAAAATTTTACCCTCACTTGAAAACAACTAACAACACACCATAAAACTTTAGTTGCTGGAAGAGTTGAAAAACATTGATCAGACAACAGCAACAAACCTTTTGCTTACTGTGGCAATAGAGAGAAAATGCATAGTTCTCACAAAGAAATATGAACAATGGATTAGTTAATGTTTTTGTGTAAATGGCAAGGAGGAATATTAGTCAGAATGAAGAAAGCCTATGATGTTGTAAAATACAGAGGAGCAGTCAATGTGCATGCACTGCACACTATCATCAAGAGCACAAGTACAATATAAGATATTTTCCTTCCATCAATTTGTATAATTTGAAACAAATATTAGAGGCAGAAGGATTGCAGCACGTTTTATATATATATATATATATA